TTGAAAAATCAAAATTGAACCTTTCAACCCAGGAGGGTCAGTTTTTTACGCTATCTGAATCCCCATGGGGGGGTTTGTAAAATATGGTGACCAGTTTAGTACGCTATAAAAACACTGAGCATTCGGCTTGATAAACACGATTTCAGCAAACCATTTGTTGGATGTCTGAACCCAGTCTATGAGGGGTTTGAGTATAGCAGGATTTTGTGTCCTTAGGAATAGAGGGCACTTACAGGTTAACAGACTTGGAGGGGACCTTGGAGGTCATCTAGTCCAACCTTCCCCCACCCAAGCTGGAGACCCTACACCATTTCTGAGAGATGGCAGTCCAGTCTCTTCTTGAAAGCCTCCAGGGATGAAGCTCCCACAACCTCCGAAGGCAACTTCTGTTCCATGGGTGGATTGTTCTCCCTGTCAGGAAATTCCACCTTATTTCCAGGTTGAATCTTTCCTGGCTCAGTTTCCCTTTATGTCAAAGGGTTTGTTGTGTTTGGGGAGCTGGGTCAGAACACTCCTCTAGGCTACTAAACTTTTGGCCTCTCCCGATTCCAAGCTGCTGGATTCCGGGGCCTGCCTCGCAGGGCGGGCACCGCAAAAGAGAGACTCACTTGCCATCCTTATCCGGGAGGTCGACCTTGGCGCCCCTCTGGAGCAGCTGAGAGCAGATGGCCGTATGGTTCCCCTGAGCCGCGATCATCAGGGGTGTCCGGTCATTCTGGAGCCAAAAAGAGAAGCAAAAAATTCATTTTGGGGCTCAAAGAAGGCAAAAAAAAAAGGACGAGACCAAAGCAAGGATGAGCAGCAGCCGGTTCCGGAAACCATCCTTAGCTTACTTTTTCCAATAAGTATCTCAGTTGGAAGATCACTTAAAAGCAATTTATTAGAGCAGTGTTTCTCAACCTTGGCAACTTGAAGATGTCCGGACTTCAACTCCCAGAATTCCCCAGCCAGCAAATGCTTCTGGAATTCTGGGAGTTGAAGTCCGGACATCTTCAAGTTGCCAAGGTTGAGAAACACTGTATTAGAGTACCTTGAAAAACTAGGGCTCTCCCTAAGAAAAATGGCTCACGTTCGCTTTTATAGTTAGAGCAACAAAGAACTTTTTGGAGTATAAGACACACTCCCCCCCCCCCGCTTAAAAGTGGGTGAAAATTGTGGTGTGTCTTATACACCGAATGTTGCCAAAGCCCCGCCCACTTGCTGGCCCCACCCTTCGGCCGTTTTCCACATGCTCCGTTTTAGACCCGTTCTAAACTGCCGGGATCACCACAGCACATCAACGCCAATCACCGCCTCCGCGCAGCGCGTCTTTGCCCTCTGCACATCCTGTTTTTGGCCTTCATGCGTCGCATTTTCGGCCAGTTCCAAGCGGCAGGGATCAGCCAAAAATACGATGCAGGCAGCCAAAAATGAGGGGTGTGGAGGCCGAAAATGTGATGCGTGGAGGCCAAAATCACACCACACGGTGGCGATGATCGGCGGGAGAGATGCGTTCCTACTGGTTTGAACTAGTTCGGCAGAGTAGGTAGTAACTCAGTCCGCCATGCCCCCAAATTGGTCCTCTGGACGGCACCTATGGCAGCGCCATCTTGTTTTATACACCGAATGTTGCCAAAGCCTCATTTTTAGTACTTTTTTTTAGCGCACTCACAGCACGTCCCTGAGTGAACCCGCACTACCAGCAGCCGGATCCCACCCCTGATCAGCGGCAATGTGCTGGGGCAATTCTGGCAGCCTGAAACGGGTCTAAAACGTAGTGTGCGGAGGCCAAAAACACAACGTGTGAAGGCAAAAATCGCGACCCGCAGAGGCAGCGATGGGCTGTGACGATCCCCGCAGCCTGGAACAGGCCTAAAATGCAATGTCCAGGGGCAAAAAACGTGACACGAAGAGGCGGTGAAGGGCTGTGGAAATTCCTGCAGCCTGGAACAGTTGATTGGCGGTATTCCGGGAAGCCGATCCAACCGCCAATCAGCTGCTCATGCTGAATTGGGCTTCCATAACGTGCTGAAGCTGACCAGCTGTTTGCTGTTTACTGCAAGGATGCTAGCCAGATGAATATCAATGGATACTGGTAGGCAGAGGCAGATTTCCCCCCCCCCCTTTGTTTTCCTCCCCAAAAGCTAAAGTGCTTCTTATACTCCGGAGCGTCCTATACTGCGAAAAATACTAGTATATTGGTTTAGAAATGGTGCCATTCCATCCCAAAGAATCAAAGCATCCAATAATATGTGAGCAAAGACATAGAAAAGAACATAATATCCTGAAAGAAAATTAAAAGGAAATATCAAAATGGGTATGGATAAGATATAGCAATAGCAATAGCAGTTAGACTTATATACTGCTTCATAGGGCTTTCAGCCCTCTCTAAGCGGTTTACAG